TGAGTATAATCGTAGGACATCAAGTCTTGACACTACTTGTGACATGATCAATTCTGCTATGCTCTAATGCAGACTAGCAATAAGAGGCATTTGTCAGATACTAGTAACCATGAGGTACTGAGACGATTCTCTTTAGCAAACCACCCACTCCGCTATAAATGCTCAAATAATCTGTCATCTGCCTGCTCCAACTTGACTGTCCTCTTGACAAGTGAAAATCGCTGGCGTTGTCTGGGCCATAAACACCATTATTGGCATTAATCCAACGCCTCCCTTGCTCCTCATCTCTGCATCTCGTAACGATAGGTCTGGCACATCGAAATCTAAAACTAAAATACTTGGAGCTCTTATTTGTTCAAGCTATATTTTCAGAGCCAGGAAGTTGCAAATGGCAAGAAACCCAGCTTCTCTTCACCATTGGCATCACGAGCTATGATCATTATCAGTGAGCAACGTTACTAGAGGAAAGTCGCTGGAGTGAACAGAAAGCTTTCCAAGCAGCAACGTTTCTTTCTCAGCAAGAACAAATAAAAATGAAAGGAGCAACACCAAGGATTTGTCTATCCTTAACCCTTTCAGTGCCAAGGGGGTCAGAAAAATTCAAATTTTTCTGAGTTGAGCTGAACTCAAATTTTTCATAGCTCAGCTGTATATCCACGGATCTTTACAAACGATGGCTCTCTGGAAAGATATCATGGCCAGGCAGACAGCTGTGAAGAGAATATGCAGCGAAAATAGTCTTCCTCGCGAGGGCGCCTGAGCGAAGTCCGTTTTCTGCATTTTCGTAGCATCCGCACTTTCTCACGCGCGCGATCGATCGCAGTGCAGTCAACTTTCAACGCACGGAATTCGGACAAAGTTGGCCTGAAAGCCGCTGAAAATCTCGATGTTTTGATACCCAATACGCATGGGTTGCCGCGAAAGAAATAGAGAAACCCGCGATGCGCATACGTCATGTTTTCTACGGGCGACAATTGTTTGTCCGAGCGCGCGCGCTTCAAGCTTCGCCCTGGCGATATCTATCCTCACGGACACAAAACGATGTGATGAGTCGATAGCCAAGGTCTTCCTGAACACGTAGAGTGGTCGTTTGTAACTCTTCTGTGTGTAGAAGTGGAGATACGAATTTATTTGTACACACATACTCATGTTGGGCGACTAAAGTCGCCCGTGGCACTGAGAGGGTTAAGGTGGCTCACGCCTATTTCAAAAAAATTAACGATTGCTCTGAAAATTTGGTGGGCGGTTGCTCTTAGGTAGTGTATGCAAATGGCGAGTTAAAAAAACGGGGTCTCAATGCTAACTTTTGAGATATAGGCGATGACAATTTCACTAAATTGTCAAATTTGTACAGGATTTGTGATGTATAGCGGACGGGTATTTCATCAAGAACCTGATTTACAATCTTCCTCATTTTTTGGTTATTGAATGGACTAACTGTGTACATGCCAATGAGAAAATAAAAAACATATGCTTCAATGCTCAATTTCGCCATATAGGCGCAGAATGCCTTTTTGATAAGTTTGCTTTGCTACATGTACATGCACACCTACATATCCCATGTACATGTCCATATACATCTACTCTTCTCTACTAGCCCACCCAACCCTGCAATACACATTTACACCAGTGTACACACACATACCACACACAAACACACACACACACGCATACATGCAAACACACACACACGCATACATGCAAACACACACACACACACACACCTGTCCTGTCGAGCCACTACCACTAGGGTCACGTGGGCCCCGGAAGGGCAGCAGAGAGAGAGAGAGAGAAAGAGCACGCCACCCGGTGGCGCTCCAGACACACACGCACACACACGCACACACACACACACCCTTGGACCTTTGGAAAGCCCATCGCCGAAGGCGATGATAGCTATTAGGCGAGGCAGAACACACACACACACACGCGCACACACACACACACACACACACTACTACTACTACTGCTACTGTAGCATGGTTGCCCAAGGGCCACACCATTCCGAAAGAAGCCGGAGTCATTGTCAGGAGCAGAAACGGAGATGACGACTCAGGTCACTCTGTCGACGGAACTGACGGCTGCAGCGAGAACAGCGGACACAATATGACGCTCTGTCAGACTTGGTTGCCCGATGGCCACGGTCGCACATGTGACGTCTGAAACCAGGCACTGACTTGAATTGCCGATTGCATGTCAAACACAAGAGAGAAGCATGGACGCTGAGCGGAATAGATGATGCCGGCTCGGACACTTTCGATGGTTTCAGGGGCAAACAATGATGCACACGCAGGCCACCACGAGAGTGAAACCACCTTCTGCATGTACCACACTGCACAGCACCACGCTGATCCTGGATGGGGAGACTTTGCTCTGCGCCACATTTGTGCCTTGTTTGTCACCTGGCTGGCGAAACGACCGATGGCAGATAAGACAGTCCACCCGCCAGGCAGACCTATCTTGAGCAACCTCATACCAGGCCAGACAGACACACACACACACACACACACACACACACGCACAAACGTGCGTGTAAACAGTGACTAAACACACACACACAAGGCACACACATGATCGCACGCCTGCAGACCATCGCCCCAATGAAGATAAGATTACTACTTCCTTGCGTAAATATGTTTGAGATAGAGTGTCGCTCTTAGATGTGACTGATGCCATCAACCAATGTCAAGGAAAAAAATTCACGGTTCGCGTCAGACTCGGCTAGAGGCCGAGTTTTCCGCATCCGTAGGAACGCCATCATCCTTCAAGGATCAAGGCGCAGATGCAAGGAAAGAATGTGTTCAATCTTCTTCTGCACACGTAGAAATAGGTTTGGGCATTTTCGATGATTTAGAATGTACGTCGCGTGAATATGACAATGTGACAGAGGCAGCCACAATTTACTGATTACTGTGCATTGATCTAGCTATATACACTGCAAGTGCACTGTAAATATTGTGTTACATGCATGTAGTTGTGAAGGGAGACAGTATACATGTACATTCACCAATGACACACCTGTCAGACAGCAGGTTAGGGCTAGTCAAAGTTATGAAGGCACAATATGCGATAAAAGGCACAATTTTGCGATGTACTTGAGTTTGTGAATATATAGTGGACTTTGTGTTCACACATACTCTACCAAATTGCCATGCACACCATTGTAACACACACACACACACACACACACACACACACACACACACACACTTGAGCCTGGGGAGCATGATTGCTGTCAGCCAGTGTTGCTTTCAAATGCGTATTCTCGTCAGGAGTGATGTGAAACACATACTGGTAAATATCAATCTCTAAAAAATGCATCCTAAATAAAACGCTCAAGCACTGAGTCTAGTCAGAGTGATAAGACAATAAATTGAAGGAATTTCTCAACAAAAACTCAGTGTACCGCTGTGATCAAGCCGTGGCAATAACTATAGTAGAGTTCTTGGTGGACAGCGATTACCATAAAGAAATGGTGAGATACTACAGTAGTACCCTCTACTGACACAATGCAACTACGTTGTCCAGTACATGTTCGAATCAAAAATACTTTCGTACATTCGTGACCATTTCAATTTATATTCAAGGGTGACCTCCACAATCCACTGGCTTCAGAGTCGATTTATCATTATAGAACGGCCATTCTTGACAAAATAGTCAGACAAATTTTGCGAAGGATGGCGTTCTACTGTGGAAGGGACTCGCCAAGTCACTTGAACCAATTCAACGAAAATACAAAATACTCAGGTTTTACACATTCACGTACCCGTCTGTTCCGTCCCCCATTCCTTCCAAGACATCCACATAGACTCCAACGCTTTTATTCTACTCTTTTTCCGAAGCCGACCATGGGCATGGGCAGTGCCTGCTGGAAGGGACATCCCAACACTTCTCTGACAGGTGACAATTTCCACAAGTAAAAAATGCACCTCAAAAAAAGTAGCCAAGTGAAGGAGTGAAAAAAAAGAAGAAAAAAGCTCACACTCTAGACTCGAGTACGAGAGTTTCGTACTCAGGCCATCTGCTCGAGCTGGACCCTTCGAAACTGGAGGGCGCTACAAGCTCGCTACGCCAACTCTGCATGTCTTTTCTCGAACGTAGGATGCGCGAGAACCTGCGCAAAAGACGAGTTTAGAAATAGGCGCGAGCCACCTTAAATCCCGGTATAGGTACCCGGGTACCGCGGGTGTGTGTAGCCTCTGGCATGGCGTCGTACCGCTCAGATTCGCCCAAAACATGAGGAAATGTACGGTAGATCTGAATGCGTACGCATTTTGCGTACGGGGACGACTAGCCAGAGTTCATGCATTCAGAAAAGAAAAAGCCAGAGTTCATGCATGCACTGCAAACCAGGGAGTCGTAAAATACCGGTATTTTACGACTCCCTGCTGCAAACACCCGTGTGACGTCGGCCTATGGCCTAGCCCATGGCTCTCACTTGTACCAAGAGTAGATAAACAAGAGTGTGCAACTCCGGATCTCTCCTGCACAATCTGCAGATACTCCCGCCCACGGCGGAATTTTTTGTTTACGTCACCTTTTTTCAGAGAAACGCGGACTTTGCCGCAGAGCAGTGTGAGAGCACGTGCTGGGCACAGACCTTGTAGTGTAAAGCCCGGCCAAGTGCACGAGGGAAACCTCTCCAAAAGGCTCGCAGCGCGTGCGTCGTCGAAAAGATTACGTCAACAAAAAATTCCGCCGTGGGCCAACCAATCCGCGAGTTGCACACTCTTGTTTATCTACTCTTGATCTTGCTTGTACTTGTACTTTTCAGCCAGCTCACACGTCTTGTCGTGCACGCACACACGTACACGCGTGTCGAAATGTGTTTTTTTGCCGGGAAAGTCGGTAAAAATTAAGTGAGGGTCCTTCGCGATTTTTTTGCGTGGGCGCCCGGCGGCCATGCCGTTGCCATAGTATCAGGATTATATCGGCCATCTTCCTTCCATTTTTTTTGTAATCTGCCTGTACTGGCTGAGCTGTAGCGCCTTGCACTTTTTGCAGCTTGCTCGAGCTCCTCGCCCTCGCGTTTGTGCTTGCTACAGGATCTAGGGTCCCTGGCTTTTCTTTCTTTTGATCAAGGAACCTTCTTCAACATAGGTCTTTTTTTCTTTGGTGAAGACTTTACACCTTAGTGTACGAATTTATCTAACTAACTTGGTCGCGGAGCTGCTGGGAGAACAGGAGATACAGGTATGAAACGTTTGATGCCGCTTGAATCCCTGATATATCGGCGTGTGTTCATTCAGGAATTTGTAGCCGTTTGTTTTTGGAATGGAACTTCAAAATGTAGTGCTTGTCCGATGTTATTGTTGGAGAAGAGTTTACGGATGTTTGGTGACTCATCTTGCGTTATTCTTTTTGTAGAGCAGTGTTTTATGCCCTTGTGGCTATAAATATAATATCTGTTCATTGTCGTTGTGACCTTATTTTCAGGCATCTGGATTGCCCGTCCCCCCCCCCCCCCTCCGGCTCGCCCTGAGCAGCCTCTGCACTGATTGTAGTTTGGGTGCGAGTTCTTCGCGAGGCTCAAGCCATGGCGTCTCACCAGCCTAACAACCCAGCATACTCTATGCACTACCAAGCCGGAATGCAGCAGCAGCCACAACAGCAACAACAGCAGCAACCCCCACAGCAGCAGGCCCAGCAGCCACGAATGCCCTTGAAGCAATATACGGTGCCTGTTCCTCCACCCAACGCAGTGCCAGGCTATCAGCAGCCAGCAGGCGTTTATTCTACTGGTCAATATATTCCTCAACAGCCTCCGGTAAGACAATTGCTATTAATTTTTGGAGTAGATTGCCTTCATTCTGTTTTTTTTGCAGTTTTTGTTTGTTTGTTGAAAGTTTCAATTTAAAACTATTATCCTTTCTTGCCATGCTACATCTCTAAGACCTACATACGTGTCGTCCCTGTCTGTTGGGAATATCTGTGTTTTATGGGAGTTTGCTCCAAAGTGAATCGTTGTTTTGCTGGAGCCAAAATAAGTTATACCCATAAATAATATTTTGTTGCGTCACGCGAGGATCTGTAAATGTCATTCAATCTGTAGCATCAAATAGCTACATTTAGATGGTCTTGGCGTACACCTGTAGTACATCAGTAAAGTAGGAGTGTCTTGGATCAGAAAGGGCAATGTTACTTATCGCAATCGCCAATATGAAAGGCAAATTTGCTCGTATATCGGGCTTGGATACAACTTTGCTGTGTTCCTGTTAGGCCTAGACAGATCCTGCCGGCAATTCTTTCGGCAGAATATCGAAGAATTGAAAAAGCGGAAATTGCTGGCAAAGTCGGAGCAAAATATCGAGATGTTGGGTAAAATCATTGCCTGATACTTGGATTTCCTTGTTTCTTACCCGTTCAGCATGATACACTGCCCAGGACGAGATCATGTCACCGAAATATCACTGGGATTCACTGTGGATCGACATGATTTTGGAAGAACCCAGGGACATGTGTGTGAAAACCCGTGTTGAGGAACCGACCCTGCGATTTTTATGAAAGTGGATAAGATACACGTTTTCCGGAGCAAAATATCGGGTTTCTAGTGCCAGGCCTGGCAAAATATCGAAGATTTCGCATCAACATCTTGCGGCAAAATATCGAGGCGAGCAGAGCAGAATCTGTCTGGGCCTAGTTCCTGTGCCTGATTTGTGACGGCTGATTAATGGAACTTGGTATCCTGGCGTTGCTTTCCAACTCGCCGAAGATTGTGAAAATCGAGTGAAGGATGAGCCAAAATTGCAAGTCGACCAACGCTGTACATGCATGCGACTTTCGTCGTCCAGCATTGCAAGCTGCGTTCATTTCGGAGTATGGGGAGGGGTCCGGGTACGAAATGAACACTGCGTTCCTTGCCAAAAAAACTTTTTCAATGACCCCTTAGGCCGCGGTCACACTGAGGCGAAAATCAGCGTCTTCCACTACTGCGGCAAATAGGAAACAGCGGCTAATATTTCCCTATCGGTCATATTGCGCTTGCGTCCTGGTAGCCTGGTGCTCGCAGCGTTTTTTTCAATTTCTTGGCCTTTTTCCATCCGAAATTTGATGCTGAGAATGTGCTGTGCAGAGGGAAACGCTACCTCAGTAACCTCTCAGTTCGGGTTTTCCGCTGCAGCCACGATAGTCATGGCAACAGAAAACGCTGCGTTTTTTGATTTTTGTCTCAGTGTGACCGGGGCCTTAGCACGTGCATGCCTGATTGTCGAGGCCAGTTTCCTGTACTCCGATAAACTTGACATTACCACTTTTGCGCAACCTCCGAATCAACCGTGTTTCGTAGCCTTTTTCATGGTGCCCCGTCCATCGAACCCTATGACACTTTGTTATGCAAGCTGAAGCCAATACAGACTGTATGATGATTGAGCAGAGTGTAGCGGATTTTCGCTTAGGCTGCAGCCGCACTTAGGTACAAAATTGCACATACATGATATTCTGGTAGGAGTCAGCAAGGAAACAGGCTTGAAATCTAAAACGATCCAAAATGTTTCAGCAAGTCGAGCACCCCTGTATAAGCAGAATTCAGCGTTTATGTGAATGGTTATCGTAGTAGGGTTCTAAATATATTTCTGCACCAATTTAATTTGTCAACGTTGTGCAGAGCTACCCATGTCTTGTTATTGATGGGTGCACCCTTGCTGTTGTCCAATTTGTTCGACTTGCTGGGAACGACAGAACGAAACTCGGTACAGGGGTCTGGATGCGTCATCTATATTTTCGTATCAGGGGTACGATTTTCCCGCCACGTTCCATGTTGTCATGGCTATCCGGACGAAAACGTCACGTACGCTACGTTTTTGGGCGTGGTGTGAACGGTCCATTATGTGGGTTTGAAATCCTCATGTCCATTTTGCGAAGATTGAGAAAACGTTCATGCACAAAAGGTGCGAGTACATTTACAAGAAAAGCTGCTCGAAATGAAAAGAAGAACGAAGATAGAATTGGGAATACAAGACAAGCTGATTGAATGCCGTCCGTGGAGATGACTTTGCTCTGTATCCTGAGGTTGATCGTTCAAGATTTTTGAATTTTCTGCACAAAAATTCATTTTGGGCGTATACGTGGTACAGTGCAGCCGCAAGTTGGCATACACGCATTCTTTCACTAGAACGTGTACTGATTTTCTACTTAACCCTTTGAGGGTCCATCGTTCGGTTGAAAATATGCAATTGTAGTTCACTCCACCATTTCCACCATAACTTACGTTCTGTTTGCTTGATTTTGACAATCTAGGGCTCTTTGAAACGCTCTTTCCGCTGCCAAGAGAATGAGGCCACGCTCAACTCCATAGTTGCCACAAAGCCTGCTCCAGAGCGCAGAGAATCGCCAAAGGTCGGGCCTCGTGGTGAAAGAAATACTTCTAAATTTCGTCCCAAGGCCATTTTGCAGTCGTTTCTCGCACAGCTCTGGATTTTTTGCATCTCAATCAGTAGATTCTACGTCATTACGGCCGCACGTCATGAGCTGGCTGCACACCACGCCATCCACGGGAAATCCCCGAAGCACGCGACAAAAAAATTGATTTTGAGCAGTTTGAACAAATTAGTGCCGCGATCCAACTTTCGAGCGCCATATCTTTACCATCGTTTCTCCTATCGCAAAAGCGATTACACCATTGGAAAGCTTGGAGCTTCCTCTTCGATCTACATATTTCGATATTTGCAACAGGACTAAAAACAATGAAGTTACGACAGTTTTACGGTACGCACTACATATCGTTCGAATTCGAACGATGGACCCTCAAAGGGTTAAGCAGGATTCACAGAAGCTTTTTTGACCCTCAAAGGGTTAAGCAGGATTCACAGAAGCTTTTTTGCGATTCGAACTCGCGAAATGCCATTCACAGAAGAAGTCAGCCATGCGACAAAGTCTTGCTGATTTGGGTACGTCACCATGACATTCGCGCGGTTTGGTCACAGCACCAACGCATATGGCCGATTGGTTTGCAGGCCTGCCTGCGAATCATGAGGTCCCGAGTTCGAGACCCGTGCTGGCAGCAGGGAGCGTGTAAAAAGACTTTTTACGCGTGTTGAACTGCGCCGACACCCACGGTCAACTGGGTACTCACAGCTCGGAGTGAGGATAACAAGGATGCAGTTTACAGGGTTAGGCCCTCTTCAGACTAGGTACAAAACAGCCTATAAGTCACATTTACATAGAAGTTTCCAGGACAACAACAAGAATCTGGCGGGAAGCCTAAAAAGCTGCCCAATCCTTTCAGGCAGGGTGCGAACCCTTGTACAAGGCAACTTTCTGCATTTATCGTACTTTCACCAGGCAGTCATACAAACTTTGTACCCGGGTACGACTGTCCGCTGCTTTCACACATCCCAGGCCCATTGCGCAATTGCGTAGGGTGTACGTAGTCTGATGAGGGCCTTATGGGCCGTTACACGCCCGATTGGTTGAGAGACTCACCTCCTCTCCCCTGACTCACTTGTGAGGTCTGCATTCGCCACTGAGGTGTAAAGGCATAGTGGTGGCCTGCAGAAGCGAAGGCTGTAGCTTGTGTGTTTCTGAACATTCAAGTGATGCTAACGCAGATCCTGCGAATATTATATATTATTGGTACAACTTGTACACATTTATAGGCAACTCTTGAACCTTTGTACAACTTTGCTGTAGAAAAGGTCAAAATCGTACGCTCGTCGCATCGCACAAGTTGAGCCAAGCTCAACTTCTGCAATGGCCCAGTTGCGGCAGTTGCGTGGGGTGCGCGATGGCTGCGATTTGGGGGTTTCGCGGCAGTCGCATCGCGTGTCGCATCGCAAAAAAAGCTTCTGTGAATCCCGCTTTAGTGCGGCTGCATCCTTAAAATTTTACAGGAAAATGTCAGTATTAGATACCCTTTAGCAAACAACGGTAACGCTATTTTTTACGGTACTCGTACCTTGATCACCCATACAGCGTTGGAGCTGCAGCGTAAAAACGTTATGGGGCTGATTTATCGTTGTGACAAACGGTACACTTTTTGGCCCTATATTGCGTAGTGCGTACGGATTTCACCTTGTATCGCGTATATGGTGCCATAAATGATTGTACAGCGCGAAATAAAACCTATTCTCATGACAACAGTGTACAAAATAGCGTGCATCTTGCTAAAGGTCGAACCCGAATCACTGTATTTTTCCCCTTACGGTAATACCGTTGCAACATGTTTTTTGCTAAGGGTGTCTATTGTGAATTTCTCCTTGCAAAGTACATGGTATACGAGGCCAGCATTTCAAGGGACATGCTCAGCAGTAGAGTACTGTACAAGCAGAAATATTCGTCTAGAATTTAATTTCGTCTTTTTCGTCCAAGGAGCCTTTGGACTAAATTAAATGCCGGACGAATGTCGATTCGTCCTGCGATTCGTCCTGCTTTTCAATACACTTTTATGATCCATGGACGAAATTTACAACTGGACGAACTCCCTTTCCTTTGAGTTGGACGAAATTATTGACCGACGAAATTTTCTGCCTGTACAGTATGCCGTACTCTGTTCGTCGTAGCCAAATGTGTGCAATCCGCATTGATCTGTGCTTATAGAGGAATACCCGTGCCTTCGCAAATGGCGTATTGTCTTACCCCATTACGTACTACACGAGTTCCACTGTACGAAAAGTTGCGTTGTCTTTGTAACTTGCTATTTTTCAGATGGGGTTTCCAGGTACTCGTATGATGCAGCCAGGACAGCTTAGTCAACAGCAGCAACAACAACAGCAACAGGCTCAGCCACAGTATCGGATGCCAGTGAGTTATTTATTTATTTTGTACAGAGAGGGAGAAAAAGAGAAGCAACCCAGCATTCATGCTGCGTAGAAGTCTCTGCCCCTTGCAACGTTTTTTGTTGACATCACGAGTCTTTGGAGATTTCGTCCCACCGTTGGTTCACTGAATCGCATCACTATGAGAATTGTGTGCGTATTGTGAGCCTTTCATATAGTTTCATGAATATGGCAGAGAGCAAAATCCTTTTGGTCTATGGTTCAGGATGATGTCATCAGTGGTCGGTCCTATTCATTGCTTGAGTACATAACCCCCAAGAGCGTGCAACTCCCGCATACCCTGCTGTCCCGGCAGAATTTCAAGTTGACATTATTCTTATCATGCAATACTCCTCGCATGAGCGGTTTACTATGTTTGTTCGAGGTGTCAACGTATCACACATGTTTCCTTGAACTCATTTGTGCGGGATAAGATGTGGATTTGTCAGCCATTGGTCCAGGATACGTATGATACTACGTGTACAATGAGCGTTGCATCATAAAAATTACACCAATTCTGTCGGGCCAGCACCTAAAGTGGAGTAGCACACTCTTGGGGGTTATGTATTCTTGCTTGGGTTGATTGTCTCTTGAACCCAACAGTTTCCTCGTCCAGTAGTTGCCCACTTTTACTTGGCAACATGTACTATTATGCTTGTTGTAATAGATGTTGCCACTATCTGTATTCCAAACCTCCTGTCACCACTTTATGGATTATGGCAGGTGACTCTTCCCTCCCTAAGCAACCCACAATGAATTCATCCCAATGTGTTAAATTTATGCATGATTTATGGCTGCACTCTTCACACGAAAGCATGGACTGGTATTTTTTTGTTACTCTAAGCATGGCTGTTTTCTTGCAGTTATTGAAGTTAGAGCTGTCTTTCACCGAACTGATGGCTATGCTACTTGCAACTGTATTTGTTCTGCAAGAGCCGCTTCCCTCAGCCTGCGCAATTTGTCTTCGTTAGATTGCCACCAAACGCGGTCATCGGTAGTCAATATCCAGCGGTAAATCTGGTTGGGTTTGAGTTGTGTTCAAGAGTTGTGTTCGAGTCTTTTTTAAATCTCGTCTGATTTGCGGCTTTGATACTGGTTAAAGGAAACTTCTTAGCACTGCTCGTACATAGCAGTATTCATTCATAGCATCTATGTTGTAGCCACTGCTAGTGGTGTGGCACTCAAAATGAGTTGCCTGGGCACTGTCCCATGATTCACTTAGGTTGTGTGGTTTGCTTGGCATGTATGATGCTGGATTTGCTACTGTGCACCTATAGCCAGCTGGTCTTAAGGGTAGTCTGCTTAAATCCAAGCAGCAGTGTCAGATGAATTGTTACCATTAACTGTGCACTATCTGATTTCTGTTCTTTGGGTGATGCTTTGTCGACAGTTCCAACCTCAACAAGCCGTTTATGGGGCAAGCGTGCGACCCCCGGCACCCATGATGGGCACTGGGTACCAGCAGCCTTTGACACAAGCAATTCCTCCACAGTCTATGGCACCGCAGCCTCCAACAATGCAACAGCAGCAACAACAACAACCGCCACCGCCACAGATGAGCCAGCCGATATACAGTGCCCCAGGAGCAGCCAGTGCTGCACTTAACCAGACACCACCGAGTTCCACCACGTTGCCACCCGCTCAGTATGCGAACATGCAAGCTGTGCCTTTGCAACAACCAACTGCTGCAGTCGCTGCTGCCGCCGCTGCTGCTGCTGCTGAGCCTCATGCAGAGCAACATGCTCCCAATATGACGACGACACCTGGCTCCAGCGCATCGCGAACCAAGGTTACTCTAAAAGACCCAAATACTGGAGAGGATTTGTTCAGCGTGAGTTTACTTCTTTTTGTCTGTGTGCGTGTATGTGTGTGTTTGTCACATTATATCTTGCAATAAGGCCCGCGGGCTTTTTTCATCTTTTCGATCTGTGGGACTTTGTCACATGGGTGATGGCTAAGCTTTCTCGTTCAGCCAAATTATTGATAATGCTGGTTGGCCCCTTTCGAGTGTAATATCTTCGGAATGTGGCTGCGTAGATTACAATCCATTCTTAACCCTTTGGCGTCCATGGTTCGATTTCGAACCATGGGCATTTTGTTTGCATGTGGGCGCATTTTCGGTTCTCGGCCAAATCTTGACCAAATTCGACAATCGAAGGGTCTAGGTGGTAGAGAAAACAATCACCTATCGCCCCGAACAGGTCCGAAGTCTCTCCGATGAAGTTTTAGTGAGCGACGAGCGATCAATCGAGCATTTTGAATTTTTTGCCCTGCGTGCTGCGAGTCAGCAGTGCGTGAAAAAAGGGATTTTCCCAGCTTCACGACAGGCGGCACATGCCGGGACCGGCGCGGCGCGAAGTCACCGCAAGGTAAGCCTCTACTCGAAAAAATTTGAACAGGACCGAGCTAGATTCAGTGAAATGGCTGCAGGAGACCGATTTCGTCTCAGATCTGGAGCTGGACTCGCGTTTGGAGCGCGTTGTGGCGGACAATGAGTAGTGCTCTTGGCGAGTTTGGGCTCATTGTATTTCTCTCATCACGAGCTTTCTAACGAGCCCAAGATCTTCAAAATCGGTGAAGTAGAACCAAAGTTATGTTGGAAATTGAGTGCGCATTTTTGCGACTGCCACAAATTCTGCTGAAGCAAAACAGTTATGGACTCCAAAGGGTTAAAAAGATGGACTTCTAGCTTTTAGCAAGAGTACATAACCCCCCCAGAGTGTGCAACTCCACTATGGGTGCTGTCCCGACAGAATTTCAAGTTGACGTCATTTTGATGATGCAATGCGCACTGTACACGGATTATCAGACGAATCCGGAACCTGTGGTTGACCGAAGCCGATCGATCCTGTACAAATAGGTTGAAATTATTGCAAAGAAAAACGTGTGATGCGTTGACACCCGTACACATGTTGTAAATCACTGATGCAAGGAGCATTGCGTCATAAATAATGACGTCAACTTGAAATTCTGTCGGGACAACAGGGTATGTGGGAGTTGCACACTCTGGGGGGTTATGTACTCTTGCTTTTAGCCATAACTGGGTCAAACTCAAACTTTCAGTTTTTTAGCATTTTTTTGGCAATCCCCTATGAAATGCTCTTCCAATAATTTTTTCTGAAGTGCTGTTATATTTATCCGAAAAGCAAATCGTAACAAGAATAGGATTTCGGCCAGGTTTTTGCTTGAAGAGCACTGTATTGGGAAAATTTAGGCCGGCTCACTCTACTTGCAACAGAACATTGTGCGGTTCGAAACCCATTTGAGGTACCTTTTGGACCCCTTTTCAAGTTCCAAATTTCGCGGCGCTGCACCATGTACGAGAAAATCACGGAAAACGGGAGGGGAGCTCGCCAGAGCCAGGGCCCATCTTTTTATGAATGGACTGTAGTCAGAGTTGTTCGAGCTGACATGTGTCTTTGGTGTTACAATAGTTTAAACACCCCGCTTTCGTCACTACAAGCGATCAAGGCGATATCTCAAAAGGTAAACAGCTCACATGGGTATTTCAAATTTCCGGCGAGAAGCAGGAATATTCGCGTGGCCCATTCTTCAGTGTAGATCTTCTCGACTCGAGTTGGGTTCTCTGCACATGTAGTTTGTTCAAAGACAACAGCGAAGAACGATGTCTCTATCTCCCACATTCTTCTTGGTGTCAAGAATATCTTTTTCGTATGATTGGTGAACACACTCTTTCCCACCTTTATAATTTATGGCAAGGCAAACACTACAAAACAAGGCAAGGCACGTCGGTAACACTGCAAAACACAGAAACAGTAGGAAGGTGACAAGAGTTGCGCAAAGAATGTTTCGATCAAAAAGCAGATCTCATTTCGCCCTTTTTGGTGTGCATGTACGCATGCACGCCACGATTATTGTGCCTGCGGCTCCTTGGCTTGCTTGCACTTTACGCCCACGATTGTCCACTTTTCTCATTCACGGGTGAAACACCATAGCAACGATCCAGTGCGCGTGCATTTGCCTGTCGTGTGAATCGCCTAACAGTTATCACTATTTTTATCACTGTTGGCTTGCATCATCATCAGCTATCAGCAATAGGGACGTTTAGCAACGTGGAAGTTCGAAAGAAAATTCGAGTCTGGGAATGAGTACAGAAACAAAGCTCTAAACTTCAAAACTTGGACGCGAAGCTGCAGTGATTTGCGAACGTTGCTTTCTCTTTCCTCGGTACGCACTTGACGGCAAGGAATAGTAAGTTTACATCCCCTTGTGTGAGACTGGGCTGCATATACCGTACGGTACTATAGAACTTTAAGAGAAAAAGTCATTTCGCATTGCTAAACCTCACAAGTTTCCCTTTTTCGAAATATATTTTCGCGAAATATCGCCGCCACCAAATGTTCGAACTTTTGATTTGCTCAATGTCCCTAATTTTTCTTTTTTTCTTTTTTGACCGATGTACCTACTCCTGACTACGGTGAAACCTATCTAAGGCTGCATTCGATTGTCGAAACTGGATCCCGATCCCCGCCGACCAGATCACTTCGATCGGACGGATACAATCGAATGTGCACAACCGATAATCCGTTTCAAGGCCTTAGCAACCGCGTTGCTACAGCTCATCCCGTAGTATCTGTACGCGTTGTGGTAAACTCTTGACCTAGTGTACGCATATTGCGAGTTTTGAGTAGATACGAGTCGTACTATCGAAATGAATCCGTCGAATCCGTCTCTGGGAGGTGGGTTGACTGGATCCGAATCCGTGCTCTCGGGATCCGGATTCGTACAATCGAACATGCACAAATTTGGCGAATCCGGGTCCGGGGCTGATGGATTCGTACAATCGAACATGCCCTAAGGTGACCACTCAAGGGACGAGAAAAAGTGGTCACCTTGGCCGGGTGGTCTTCTATCCGGGTTCAGTGGGTCACGTGACTATATTCACAATATACGTGTACATGATGTGACATAATTATCATTTTGATCCGTGTATCACCCTGGACACACCTATGCACAACTCATGTGCCTGGGGCCTTGGGGCCTCAGACCTGTCAAGTGCATGCACCATGTACATATGCATCTGTGCAATGTGCACATATGTACATATAGCAGTGTGCAACGCGGTCGCGGGTGGGTGGTCGTCGGTCGCGTTGAGCGAGTGGTCGCCTTATCCGAGCTGTTTTGAATGTGAATGCGTTCGTGACAAGGAAAAGTGGTCGCCATTACAGGTTTTACTGTAGTTGAATCTGATTTCCTCTTTCTCTGATCTGTCTAATTATTTTGTTTATTTGTAGACTATGCCGAAAAAGTCGCAGCCTGGTGCCAGGGCACACACAACTCCGACTCGTGGGCAACCATCCCCGGCATCATCATCATCATCATCTGGCAAATCACCGCCATCAACCACTACGCCTCAGGGTCACAGTACTGTAAATCGTACTTCCAGTCTGAGCCATGAAGCACCTGTGTTCAAGCCTACCACTCGCACCATGTCAGCACAACCTAGCACCTCTGGAGCTGGTGCTGCGAAGCCAAGTGCTCTTGCTGATGGCAATGTTACCCCCAGCCGCCCCAAGTTGAACTTGGCTGCAAAGGAGTTCAAGCCTCCGGATGTTGCATTTGCATCAGCTACTAACTCTGACAACACTGTCGGTACAGAGGCACAGAGCTCGACCACTGCCTCTGCCTCTACTACAGCTGCTTCTGCTGTAACTGCTGTGACCACTACTACTGCTTCGTCGTCACTAGCACAGCCACAGTTGCCTGTTGAGGCCAAGTCTGAGCCAGAGGCATCTGGTACCAGCACGTCAGAGCCAGATTCATCAACGGCCAGCACTACTGCTGCGTCCACTGCAGCAAACTCAGCTGTAACTCACCCTCAGCACACAGCTGGTTCTGCTTCTCCCGTGGCAGCAGCAAAGACCCGGTCAAGGTCACCTTCGCCACCCGTCACTGTAACCAGTGGTGCACCTACTCAGGCCAGTCTGACATTTGAGGACCGCCAGGACCAACCGGAGTCGGACAATACTGCTAACCGGTCTTCCAGCTCACAGCTAGCAAGCGGTGAGGAACCTAACTAGTTTTCAAATGTCATTGTGTCATAAAAGTAGTGTTAGGTCATGGTAAAAATTATCTGTGATTCTCAAGTACGCGCGCACCAATTTTTGGCGGCGCACCGACGATTTTTTATATTTCTATGCATGCATATGCGCATATGCGCGCATTGGCCGGGGAAAGGCATGAATCAGGGAGTAGTAAAATACTGGTATTTTTCTACTCACTGGCCTTCATATTATGAACATGTGACCATGTACATACATTTGTATGTGTGACCCTATCTTTGGAAATAAAAAAAATTGGGGAAATAAAATAAAACAACGCTCGCTCGCACCGATTTTCACAGGCTCATGACCTGAAAATCAACTTTATTTTTTACCATGGCCTTACTTGCATGTTCATTGAAATGGCAAGATGCCGAGCCCACAGCTTTGCGTATGCTGACTGGCTTGGATGAGAGGAAAGATAGCAGGGAGGCAAACAAAATGGGATACGAAATTACACCAGGAGAAACAACAACGTAGCTGTGCAATATGTGCATGGTTGTACTAAGCATGGCAAATGTCCCGGGCCAATTTTGGATACAGTAGGTGGTACACGGAAGGGTCACGAAAGCATAGAATAATACTCTGTGACTGTTTAGTGAACAGGACAACGCCTCGACTATAACACTCTATCACTACTTCAGGAGAAAATTGAAATGCCACAGGTGCAGTGCGTGATATCAAAAACAGAATATTAATGCCAAAAGCAAAATGCACTTTGCCAGTCCAATTATCATTGAGGAATTGTGTGTTGCTCCCTACGTGGGAGTAACACAGTACATCTGATCAAGCCAAAGTCTGTTGACGGCTGCATCTGATCAGAACTACTTCCATAGTGATCAACTGTAATTTCTGGTTTTTGATTTCTCCATTTTAGGAACACCTGGCAGTGAAAAGGCAAGCGAAGACAAGGTATGTGGTGTTTCCCTTCACTTTTCTACACCTCCAAGGGGTCTTGGTTGTAGCTTCTGAAATACAGTATCGGGATGAATTCCGATCATGAAGGTAGCTCGAACAACCTTGGGGGTGGAACAACTTTACGAAAGAAGTGCTCTATTTTCCCTTGTACTAAAGTTGCCCAAGAGCTCCAGAAATAACCCTTTGTTATACAGGTTGTGCCTAATGAAATTTCGTTGTGTTTGACAGATTACGCAACCACGAAAAAAGGCGACAAAAATCCGTTTATTCGGAGGTTGCGCTAAAGTGGTAACGTCAAGTTTGTCGACAATTTCCTTGTGACCACATCACATTCTTGTCCGGTGACTTGAATATCTCTCAAAAGGAGGAACTTCTTTTCGCATGATTGAAGAACACACTCTTTTTCCCATCTTTATCATTTGTTAGCTTTCTAGAGGAACTTACAAGATAGAAAATTGCACTTCTTCTGTAAAGTTGTTCCACCTTCAACAACTGCTTGAGCTTATTACTCCACTGCTCGCTAAAGCGGGCTGGATACGTACAACGAGAACACTCCACCACCTTATGTGAGTTTTCGTTGTCGAACACCTTAGAAAGGGTATCACGAGTTACACATTCTTAAAGATCTTTATTTTTTCACAACAGGCATCACTAGCACATCATGGGCTCTGTCCTACACCTTCTTTTGTGTGGCGAATCATCACGGTCATCCAAGTCGACACCACCATCACTCACATTGAAGTTGTCACTGGTGTCAGCACCGTCACTGCTATTGCGCAGTGTGTGCATGCCAATACAATTCCACTGTTCAAGAGACGGTTTTTTGTTAAATATTTTGACCTGCCCCTGGATGGGGGGGGGGGGGGGGCTTATTCAAGGGAGGGTCTCGAGGTACGCGAGTGCAGTATCTGTGCCTGAGAACAACTAAGAACAGAGAAAACAGTATTTGTGTGTTTCTCCCTACATGGGAGCCGCGCTTTACCTGTCGACTTGACTCACTCACGACTGCCATCCACAGCACGGAAAGTTTTTTTAATGGCCAATATCTACCGTGGACACCGAAACTTCTGTCAAGTGTGTGCCTTTGTGCAACTTCTCTTCTGTCTGTGCTCTTCATTTTCTTCAGACTGATGATCAGGCCTTTGCCACTGCTTCAGCTTCGAAGCCTGGTAGTGCTGCCAATGCTGGTTCTGCTGAGAAACCCAGCAATCCTCCTACTAGGGATGGCTCCGCAGAGTCGTCTCCTTCTTCATCTCGCAAGAAGCCCAGCATTGAATACAATGATCCTAGTGAGTATACTGTCACACCGTAAAAGGCACATATGGTTTAAACCGCATGTATGCACAAGATCTAGAAAATATGCAATCGCTCAATTTCAGCTAGCACTGGGCATAAGTCAGCAGTTGGTGAAATGACATTTATATGTACAATCGAAACCAGAATCACTTTTCACCCAAGTCTGGCATCGAATGCCCGGTAGATGTATGTGGTGTGAAGCTTGACATGCATCCCTGCATATTGTTGTCCGCAAGCAGAAAAAAAGAACCTGACCGACCTTATAGCAGCTGAGCGAAGGGACTCAAAACAAGACCCACGAGGAATTAGGGTGTGTTTGTCTGGGTGGATGCGAGCAAGCACTTGGAGCAGTCAATTCCTCTGTAAACGTGGCGGTGCACGCAGAGCAATTTCTTTAATGTTGACATGGACATCATGGCACTTAATTTTCATTTTGAACAGACTACTCATATGTGCGCACGTACACACTCGCTTGTGTGCATACACACGTCTATTTTCATTTAAAACTCCCGTCTGAATCTCAAAGCGAAAGATGGCAAGAGAAAAACGAAACTGCCCTGCCTGCTCGACTTAGGGTGCGTTCTTATATTCTCTAGCTTCTCGGAGAAGAAGCAACTGGTGTAATTTAAGAACGTGTCTCGAAGTATTTGGAGGTATTTTGCACATGTCAAGCAACATGAAGCACCAAAGTGGGGTGACCCCTTTGGTGCTTCATGTTGCTTGACATGTGCTGTGCGTATGCGAAAAGGGAAATGCGTACTCTCATGATCAACATGTGGCTTTTAGCCGTAGTTCGCATGCGCTGATCCCAAACCGCAGGAATCTCCAAGTTTCAACCACCTCTGAAGCTTGGAGAGCTTTGGGGAGCCTCCTAAAATTCAGAGAGGATATCAGAACAGCTCTCCAACTTTTCGGAGTCTCCAACTTTTCCGAGAGGATTTAAGAATGCACCCTAAAGCTGTGTTCACAACTGGCGCGTGTACGCGTGAAACCACGCGTTTGTGCGTATTTTTGCTAGTGTTGAAACGAGCGTATCTATAACAAACGAGCGATCGGTTCCACTAACGAGCAAGCTATCGAGCGAGCTAACGAGTTTCATTGATGTGGCAAATATGTTTTTTTGAATATATTTTTTCTAAGTTAGATGTTTTTCAGCTGGTACAAATCATCACCACCGGCATTTGGGATTGCTGCTGCTTCACTTTGGACTGCTGTTTGGTGTCGAGATGTCTTTTCAGCGCCGTCGTTGAGTAGCCTTTGTAAGAATAGACCGTTTTGCAAAGATTGCAAGTAGCCCTGGTCTTCGCTGCATCGCGGGAGAAAACTTCCAAACGACTGAGCGTAACTTTCACTCGAATGGAGAGGTGACCGAAGCATATCCTGCGACAGGTCAGCAGATGCGGAACAAGACATCAGTAGAGTCCACCAAAGCTGCAACGACAACTGAAACAACTCATATGTCGTGCAGGCATACAGTCACCGTAACTGCGAGTGATTTTCACTTTGCGCGGGACTGGACTCTCGATTGACTAGGGAGTCGTAAAATATTTTACGACTCCCCAGTCGACATGTACTGCCATGTGTACGGAGTACGGTGTACGGTGTACGGTGTTCGTTAGTGCAAACGAGCTGGCCGCACAAACGAGCCGAGTTTCTGGCGAGCGAGCTAACGAGTATCCGGTGAGATCGTTTCAACACTATTTTTGCTGGCTTTTGGGGCGCCATGCGTACGGAAACGCGCCGAAATGGAAATTGCAACATGTTGGAATTTTCAGCGCGTATCAGGCCCATACCAGCAGCATACATGCCAGTCACTTTGACTGGCGGAGTCAACAAATTAGTACTCGAAGGTGTCGCACGCGCTAAATACGACTCGGTTTGCTGTTTTTTTGTGAAAGCTTGAGCGCGCGTATAGGCACGCATGAACCGCAAGCGTACCGCGTCCACGCGCCAGTTGTGAACACAGCTTAAGTGGTTTGGAGTAGCCCGAGCATGCTCCGAACAATCTGGATCCAGTGCGGACTAGGCAAACATACGTGTTTTGGGTGGTCCTATCCTAGTTCCGTAGCAGACAAACGCGCCTAAGTTCCGAGTGGCCGTAGAAGGGTGAGCGTAGTCTTGTCCAGGATTTGCTGTATTGTTTATTGGTTCTAAAGTAAATCCAGACCAACAATATTGTGGGCACAGTGGGTGCAGTCACTCTTTGTACAGGTAGACTCCCTTTAATTTGAACCTCAAATTGCCAGGCCATAACTTCGAATTATCCAAATGCAGCCCCATGCACTGATATGTATGTCAAAATGCTTGAAATCGCATGCTGATTATTTTTTGCACATTTTTTATTTGCATCAATGAAACATAGGTGGTCGTACCGCGTACCGGTACGCGGTCATGTACAACGATCATCAAAACACTGGATCGACACAAAATCATTGGACATTATCTTCATCTTCTAGTGAAGAAGTTGTCAGTCACTGCAGCTTTCCTGAAACAATTTCAACGGAAAAGAACTACGATGCCTTATCCGCATCATGAAAGGCCGTCGGACAGCAGCACGTCGTTCTGAAGAACGGAAGTGGAGCATAGGCATAGACAATATTTACGACAATAGTGTTGTTGTGCGCCAACATCTCCGCGCACTAGCTGGCACGGCGAGAAAGGCCATCGAGGTCCGCGAAGAGAGTCAGCCACCTGGAAGAAGTCGTCTTCAATCAAACCTTTGCAATTTGCCTCGCACGGGCTTGAATCAAATTTCGAGAGAAGGTGGGTTTCTTGAACGCTATAGTCAATCCTGCAGCGGACCATCGATCGATTTTTGAGCTACTCTTGGCTAGAGAAGGAGAAAAGAATGAACTTCGAATTACAAGGATAGAAGCTCAATCTCACTTTGAAATAAGCGTTCAAAGTACATAGCCAATGTACTGTAAACAGCTCTTCTGTACGAAGACTGGGTTCGAATTATCCAACCGGCGCACTTTTCGTACTTCGAATTATGCATTCGATTTTGACTTGAAGTGACTTGCGGAAGATCGGTACGACGAAAAAGTTCGAATTACACGGAATGTTCGAATTATACCGTATTCGAATTAGAGGGAGTCTACCTGTATAATGATGTTGTTTTTGACACACGGTTGTCTGTCTATGTGTACTCTCATCAGGCCAATGGACACCAGACAATCAGGCTGGTAATAAGATTTACTCACGTGACTTCCTGATGCAGTTCCAGAGCATTCAGGTCACAAAGCCGCCTCAGCTACCGTCAATCGACGGTGTTACCGACAACCGGGTGAGAAACTTTTGTTGTTTGTATTTGAATTGTACCTTCTCGATATTGTGCATGTCAATCATTTAGCAGACATGTTTTTATATTTTGTCTTTTTTTCTTTGCTTTTTGCAATGACCTCATTGTACGGTGATGCTATTTCACTGCATGACTATTGTGATAATGTATAACCATGTATGGCAATATGCATTTGGCTAGCTAATGCCAGCAGAGGCAGCTTATTGGTCGTGTGTCCTAAGATACCGTACTAATTGCTATATAATTACGTTGTTGCCCTGCAGAAACCACGCAGTGACCCCAGAGGTAACTTTGGAGGAGGAGGTGGTGGTGGTGGTGGTGGCTATGGAGGGTAAGCATATTTCTTTATAGTTGTCCAAGCTGTACAGCGGCGAGGGAGACTGGTCAACGCCAGTAGTGTCAGGTTCCAAGAGCAGGAGTTGAATCACTCCAGCCTGGACCCGCTGGTGTTGTTTCAATTTCAGCCTCTTCTCGTTCATATTCTCATCTGCTCAAACAAGCGCCCGTGCAACCGTAGTCTTGCATGCTTTTTTCAATTTATTTTCATGACAGTCCAGCCTGGCCATTCTTATCCAAACCATTGTTGGAATTTTGGGCACGCAACATCACTACAGTCCATTCAGAAAAAGATGAACTTCTAGCTTTTGGCCATAAATGGGTCAAACTTTGAGTTTTTTTAGAATTTTTTTCTGCAATCCCCTATGGAATCCTCTTCCAATTATGTTTCTGAAGTCTATTTGTCCAAAAAGCAAGCCATAACAAGAATAGGATATCGGCCAGGTTTTGCCCCAGAAGCATTGAATTAGAAAAAACCATCAAAATCCAGGCCGTTTGACCCTGCCTGCAACAGTGCATTGTGGGGTTCGAGCCCCAGTTCAGGTACCCTTTTTGGACTCTTTTTCAAAGTTCAAATTTCGCAGCACTGCACTGTGTACAATGAAATCACGAAAAATCGCCAAATACGGGAGCTCGCCAGAGCCAGAGCCCATCTTTTTCTGAATGGACTGTAGAGAGCTTCAAGGACTCGTTTGTTTCTTACGAAATAAGTCACTGGGTCTGGGTCTCTTGCGTATCTATGTTGTTTGGTATGTACATTCATGCTTCTTTGTGCAGTGGCAATAACACCTTCTTGCCAGGCTACTTGCAGAACACTGTTGGTTCTAATGGTGGTGGAGCCATGGGCCGTGGTCCTGGACCATCTGGTGGTGGTGGCGCGCGTAGACAATCGCGTCCAAGCCAAAGCGGTAGCGGAGGAAGAGCGCCACCAGCCCGTGTCATTCAACTCACTCAGAAAGAGGTAAGCAACAGCCAATGTACCTCATATGTATTGCCATGGGGGAATTGCGAAACCAACGCAAATCCTTCAATCGGAACGTTCCGTTCAGTTTCTTACAAGGGTCTTTTCATGGGGAATTCAAGCCAACATGCAACGCATTGGCTACTAGAAGTCAAACGCTGTTACTAGCCAAAGTTTGAGAACCCAATCGCTTCCATTGTGTGTATTCGCTTCTGACTTCAACTTTTTTTATTTTTCTGTCCAGGAGCCACTTAAAAACTCCGAGAATCGTTGGGTGCGTTCCACTCAGCGCAAGGCTGATGCTTCAGACGGGGAAAAAGCTACGGAGGTATGGTTTACTGGTTTATAATGTGACTACTTTTCTGTGGCCGCATACCCTGGGGAAGTGTGTACCCTGTTGTGCAGAATTAGTGTATTTGGTGCTTAGTCTGCTAATACTCTCACGAAACTACCGTTCGTATGCATGTCTGGAGAAACTATGACCAAGCCTTCGCTATGGTAAGGGGAGCCCATTCACGTGGTGGGGGTGCTCAGAAAATGACAATTCAATTCGAAATGGTGAGACTGACGGCAACAGTTTTATTGGGACACTTATCAGATGTTGATGTCAAAGTTGATGAGTACAATCCAAGCACCCTTCAAGTCTTGCTGCCCCTAAAAAGTAGCATCACCCCAGCCACCACCTTAACGCACACGAACAATCAGATAAAAATGACAGAAGGAACGAGTTTGACTTTAGTTGGGCTTGATCATTGCAATAACTCTTGGAAGATATGTAGCTCTAAACTTGATTATTTAATATTTAAACTCCTTGTCTCGCCACCGAACTTGTGTTAGATTTACTTGTGGCCACTCAGAACACAGGGTAAGCCGGGCAAACTTTCAACTAGGCACCTTGAAAGCGTGGTCATCTTCTATGAACGGTGGGTATATCAACCCTTCCTTGTCTCTGATTTCTGATCTTCCTTACTACTTGCAGGCATTGTCTCGTGCTTTCCGTGGCTTCTTGAACAAGCTGACGCCGGAGAAATTTGAGACCATCGCTGAGAAAATCAAGGGATTGGTCATCGATACCGAGGAGAGGCTTACCTTGGTCATTGAATTGATCTTTGAAAAGGTTTGTCACTTTTAGTTTTCTATCTCCAAGAAAATTATTTAACTTTTAGTTTTATTGTGCCTTTGTATGCGTAAGACTGTGTAATATCAGTATGTGATTGTGTGTTAAAAAATAAGGAATTCCACAGAATATCTTTACGTGCAAAAGGTTTATTTGGTGTCGCTGGTGCTTGCATCCTGCAGTAATGCCAGCTTTGTTATGGAGTATGTGAACTGACATGTAATTTACAATGGTTTGCTTCTTTTCTGTATTAGTCTCTGTCCGAGCCTAAATTCAGTCCATCGTATGCATCACTTTGCCGGCACATGCTCACGGTAAGTGGCAGTCTATATTATGGTATCAATGGTTCACTGCTGCTGCTGTTCCAGTCACATCATCACTCTCATTCTGTACAGAACAACCTGGTGTAATCCAGCAGTTGGCTATCCGCTGACAAAGTTTGTTTTACTCCAATGAAGTGTGTGGTACTGGCTGCGTTAGAGTAGCTTCTCCTTAGTCTACTGGGATCTTCGTGCTTCCTTGGCCCATTTCTGTCTTGTGTGTGTGTGTGTGGGTGCCTCAGATCAAAGTTCCAGTCAGCGATGAAACTGAAAACTCAACAGTGTCTTTCCGCAAGAAGCTGCTCACACGCTGTCAGGCTGTATTCGAGCAGGACAAGGCTAATGACAAGAAAGCGGAGAAGGTCGTGTTGCTGAAGGAGCAGTTGGAGAAAACACCAGATGTGAGTGCTTCCAAGATGGTAGTTATGCAGAGCATGTACCAAGGGGCTTTCTCTGCCATTTGTTGCTGCTGCTTTGCTGTATGCTGGCCGTTATCACAAGCTCACGGTTTGGGCCCTGCTTTTGTTTGTAGTGAGGATTAGTGGCATTGTGCATGCAGTGGGTTTAACTGTCCTCCTGCTGCTGTTGCTGCTTGTGTTCTTCGCCTGATTTGTTTGTAGAACAAGGAGTTGATCTGTGAGAAGCTGGAGCTCGAGGATGCTCTAGCCAGCGCTAAGCGCAGGTCCCTTGGTAACATCCGCTTCATTGGTGAGCTGTTCAAACTCAAGATTCTAACTGAGCCAATCATGCACGAGTGCATTGTCAAGCTGCTGCGTGCCTCGGATGACGAGTCTCTAGAAGCGCTCTGCAATCTTCTATCTACTGTCGGCAAAGACTTGGATCATGAGAAAGCCACGGTAAGTTCATTTTCATTATTCTCCTGTCACGTGCCTCTGCATTCGGAGAGGAATACCAGAAGCATGCTGTGTGCTCCTTCTAGACAAGGGTATTTCTGGTAGGTACCTGTACTCGTACCTGTACTTGTACTAGTACTGCTCGCTTCCTTTTGCCATCCTGTCCTGGTGCTAGGCTATTTTCCTGGGCGTCAGCCGCTCTTCCCACCCTTAGATACCCAAGTCACTTCTACGTTTTGTACTTGTGCTGAAATGAAACTGTGGGTCTTTGCTACCTTTTCAAAAAGCACGATGTTGTGTTATCCTGTGTTATCTTGTGATGGTATATTGCTTAGTGGTGATGTCTTTAGCTAGTTGCCTGGTGTATTTATAATCCTGGAAGCAGTGTTCTGGACGCTCATGAGCATTCACTAGTTGCTCAGCTGTATAGTGCGGATTTCCTTTCTATTTGAACGGGTGTGTTATTGCTAGGGCAACCTCCCAAGAGTGTATCCTTCTGTGGGTCCACTGACAGCGAAACCTTACGTCACTGGCTGTAGTGTTCCCGGTGTTCGTTTGAGCAACCAGCAGAGTAGTAAAAACAGCACTCCCTCACAGAAGCCCACTCAGATTGTGCGTGTCACCCGCATGATTGTGGCAAATATTCAGACTGTGAGGAAGCTGGCCTTCGTTGCACGTAGTGCAAATCATGCTTGGATCACTTGATGTGGGTTTTCGCCGTCGGATACCCCGTGTGCAGAGTTGCGCACTCTTGGAAGCTAACTTACTCTTGCTATTACTCTGTAATGATACTACAGTCAGGCCTCGCTTATCCTGTCCTCTTTTATCCGGATCCCTCGCCATCCAGAAGAAAATAGCTGGTTACAGATATACAGCATGCGTGATGCATCCAACATAATCAGTGTTCGATTATCCGGTCCCCTCGTCTATCCGGACATTTTTGTGGAAAACGGATGTGTGCGGTTAAGCGAGGTCTGACTGTAGTAGTTGATATTGGTGTGGCACACTGCGTGCATTTATACGTTTACATTCATTGCTTAGCCACGTTACTTTTTGTCTGGGGAAAGGGTGAGGTACCTTCTGACCATCAGATATTGGTACCATATGCCTGGCCATCATTGCCACCTGCCTCGCCACTGTCATTAGATGCCATCCTGTCCGGCTAGTTTCCCTTGGATACAGATTGATGACCAATGGGAGAGCAGCGTGTGTTGCATGGGATCATGCGCCACACTGTTCAGCTGGAAGTTGAAGGGATTCATGTTTGAAAGTGGTGGACTGCATGCTTTAAATGGGAATTTTGAGTGTCTGTGGGCAAGGGGTTCAGCAAATCAGCAGCCCTCTTCTGAATGAACTGTAAATAGCTAGTGCAGGCTGTCGTAATAAAACGACTCATCCGTGTTCCAGTCCCGTGCATGGTACATGCCTGGTGCGACGGCACAATGACAGCTGTCGCAAATCACACTGAGTATTACACGTGTTTGTTGGTGATTCCTGGTTAGCTGCTAGCTTTTCCCTACTCGAAGATGTTGCCGCCGCGAAATCTGGGGGTTTGTGTTCGTCCTGGCGAAAACCGTGTTTTGATCCGTTGAGGGAGACGAGAGATACAGTGCGAAGACGTACGATCTGTCCGAGAATCGGCGAAGAAGAAAGCTTCGCAGACTACCCGTAGTGGTTGGGAACAGAATGGAACATATACCAGTCGATGCCTGTCATGGTAGGGATGACTGCTACGAAGTTTTAGCCCCATGCTCCCCAGCGCTTTTTAGCGCCCGACGATAATAACCAAATTTCATCAATTTTCCATGTGGATCAAAGCATAGTCTCCTCAATCTTCTCCAGTCGAGCTGAGTCTGGACGCTACAATGTCGAGACGCGAAAAGAGAACATGCATGAACACACACAGGAGCATCACATGCAGCTGCATTCTGCCTTGACGAAGCTGAGAACAACACCCGCACCACGCATTTGGAAGACATTTCGAAGAAGACGAAGAACTACATATCTGCGTTCAAAAACGCCTCTGTACTGTGTGTGTGCATGCAGTATGCATATGCATGCATGCGCGAAGCACGGGGTCCGCGGATCAACTAATACTTCGTTCAAAAATCATTGTGCCACACGGGTTGTATGATTTGTGTGCGATCATGGTCTTTCTTCTTGACAAACAAAAGTGAAGTTTTTCGATCTTCAAATCGCCATAGCGTCCTTGTCATGACTCTAAATCAGCTGAAACTTTGCAGGAGGAATGAAAATGCCATGCTGAATCGATTGGTACCATTTTCGAAGGGTTTCCTTGAAAAATAAAATTTAGCCTGCACTGGCTACTGTAAACACGATGCCACTTGCCACTGCCCTTGTATCTAACATTTCATCATCACTGGTGTGTAGCAACATGCCGGTTTCAAACGTCCTTTGAATGCACAGAAACGGATTTCGGAGTACTTCGATCGAATCCAGAAGATTATCGACGGTGGGCGCTTGATCAACCGCATCAAATTCATGCTCCAAGACGTCATCGAGCTCAGGAAGGTAAGCTTGTGTGTGAATGAGAGGGGGGGGGGGGGCGAATTGTGTATATATCTGTGCTTCTCCTATCTCTCACATGTATTTTGTGATGTTTGGGGAGACCGGGAGTGTTGGATTCTGTGTTGGCTTTCCATTGCTGTACCCTGTGCATGTATTTACCGGTAGAATAAAAATTGTCATTTTTCCCTTGGGTGCAGCACAACTGGACGCCGCGACGTGATGACAACAAGCCAAAGACCATCACTGAGATCCATAAGGAGGCTAAGGAGGCCGAGCTCAAGACCAAGATTGAAAGTCAGAATGCGCAGTTGACTGCTCGTCATGGAAGCAAGTCTGGCATCAGGAGTGAGTTAGAACTTTCTTTATTCACTGCATGGCTCCCATTGCATTGTCACTGAGTCAAACTTCGAAGAATCCTCTTTGGTCTCTCTTTAACCTTGAACCTTCCGAGTTGGAAGGCAGTTGGTTAGCGCTACGGAGATGTGTTGAAGCCAGGTGTCAGGTGGTCGAATGTCTCCGTGCTCTGTCAGTTTTGTGCATAGTTGTTGCACTTTCTGACTGTATACGTATCTAGTTACAGTGGTGGACAGTTACTCTTAACTTTGGCTGCCTTGCCAGTTCTATAGTATGTGGCGTTTTCAGAGGGTGTAACCAGGATTTCCTTGGTATTTGGTCGATAGTGCCCTAGCACATATTCTTACCAGTTATTTTCTTAAATTTGGGCGTTTATATCTTTATGTTTCTGTGACTACATGTAGATCGTGGCAGCGGCGGTCGTGACAATGATGGCTGGTCGGCTCCTGCTCGTCCATCTCGCGTGTCCTTGGACTCTGACAAACTCGCCAGTGCCAGTGTAAGTACTAGGAGTGTGTTCCTGCAGGATAGTCCGGAACCTACTGCTTTCCCTACTGTGTCAGGCATGAAATTATCCTACTGTCTGTTTCGCTTGACTGTCTGTGTAATGTTAACTATCACACTGGATTATATGACCGGTTTTCTTGTCTGTGCCCTGTCTACAGCAACGCCTGCACCAGCAGTCGCGTGATGGAGACCAAGTACAGCTTGGACCTGGCGGAAAGAGCTTTGGATGGGGACGTGGTTCAAGTGGCGGTAGTACTGCGGCGGCCACCTCTAGAGACGAGAGGCCATCTAACAGGTTCGTGTGTGTGTGCCCATGCTGCTACTGGTTTTCTTGTTCAATTGTTGATATTTTGTAGCGTTAATAGAAGGGAATTGTTCTGCACCCTCTTCCTCTTCTTTGTCCTCAGTCTGTTGCTAGAATGATTTACACGCAACTAAAAAAGAGACACATTGGTTTGTTCTCGCTTAGTTCACTCTTGCTGAAGAATTAGATTGCATGGATACGTTCGCCTAAGTAAAGGACCTAAATAACCATCTCGAATATGGATAGGTTATAGGGGATTCACACGCACACGCACACACACACACACACACACACACACACACACACACACACACACACACACACACACACACACACACACACCTTGCCTGGTGTATAGCTGCCAAATGATTGGCCACGCCGCCCCTGAGACAGGGGAGAGTAGAAGAGAGAGCTCGAGAGAAGTCAGTACTGCCACCAGGAAACCGCTCCGCCACGACGTCGTCCGCGATTGCGTACTGTATTGACAGCTACCCTAACGGGTCACGCCGCCCTCCACCCAAGCATGGGTATGATGAGGGACAATGGTAACAAAAACAGCAAGCAGAGAGAGAGAGAGAGATAGCAGGAGAAAGACAGCGAAAGTAGTACATCTGGTGCGACGTATACTGGAAGAACATCCCACGCAGGGATATCAGCGATAGGCCAAGCGTTGAAAAAACAGCCATGAGGACACATCGTCTAGAAGTCCCGCGCTCGAACTGAAATTGCAGGATCAAACAATTTCCCACGCGTCGTCAGGCAGCGTAACCCTTCTCCCTGCATCACCATCCATCTCTAGCAACCGTCTCCACTCACAGCTCATGCCTCTGCCATCACTGTACTCCGAGCCTAGACGATCCAGCTCCAAAACGACATCGATTCTTCTCTCATCAAATTCAAATCTTGAATATTGTCTTGGCGAGCGAAAGCCGTCTCTATCGGGCCAGAGGCATTCAGCAGAGAGCGAACATTCCAGGAAGCCAGCTGAAGACTCTCTCCCTCCCTCTCCACATGGCTATACGGCGTGCGTGCGTAGATTTTGTCTTTGGCGAGAACTCTGAACCCTAGTTGTACGAGTGCATCGCAGCCTGCATTTTCAGACAGTGCCCATCGGAAAACCGTGCATGGCGAATGCAAACCTAGTACAGATTATTTTTTAAATACCCCTGCCACAAGTTCGTGGCCAAACATGCAGCCAGGAGAAACTGACCACGGGTGTGAACGGCCCCACTCGGTTGACCAAAGGTCTGAACTTTTACCTTGTCCCGTGACCTCGGGTTTCCCCATGAGTGTGAATCCCCTATTAGCCTAAGTAAAGGGCCTAGATAACCATGGTGAATATGGAGATGGGGACCATTAGTTTGGATTGTCGTGGCAGAACTCTTGGCCACTGCATTGCTATCACTTTTTCAATATTCAATAATAATATTCCACAACCCTATTCTTGTGTATTATGTGTAGGTACGCTACTCTGGCCGCAGGCGCACCTGACCCACCACGCTCCACTTCGTAAGTACATAGGTTGATCATGAATTCATTGTAAATGTCCACATGGTTAATGGCCAAGGTCACAGTTAATGTACCGCAAAGTACTGCGAGAGCATCCCACCACCTGGACCCCTCAGTGATCTTGTTTGGGAGGTGATGCGGATGAGCGAGTCCTGTGTGAGGACACGGACATTGTACACACACTGCACGCATACAGAAGTCCTTACTCACTTCACCAGTGAGGTTGACACACACCTGTCCTGTCCTATCTTGAACATTGCCGTAAGACGGTCACATGTCCCCTCATACGAGGGGCCGACAGACATGGGGTAGGCCGGTTGAATACGGTGCGCAGCACGCTCCGCAGGCTAGCGGCCAACGAGAGTTCTGGTATACTTTGTGCAGCTGTGGAGTTGGAAATCCCTCTTTGATCGGCAACACCTGCCACATGCGTTGCAATGAGCCTGGCAGCAGGGTAGTGCTAGCTGAGTCCTCACCGGCACCGTTACTGCCGCAACCGAGTTGGGCGCAGACAAAGAAGGGCCCGCCGCTGGGCACGTAGAGCGATCGTCGTTGTGTCGACACTTATGGACAGCGAGGCCTCCGGTGCTCCTGAACCATCTCTTACACGCCGGGCATTTCCTGCTCCCAATCTGATCTGCGATTGGCTTGCTGCGCTCCTCTTTGCACTTGTGTTGGGCCATACCACTCTTTGACAGTGACCAGCCACAAACCGCACATGGTGTTCGTGGTTGCGGGCGTGATCCAGATGAAGTGACGCTGGAGTACGCCCCTCGCCATTCACTGCGCTCCTGTGCCAGTACAAACCATGCCTCATCGCCCAGGCCGAGGCGTCGGACATCCGCTCCCAATGCTTCACGCCACCTCTTCCGAGGGCCACATGCACATGCCACGGGTTGGCAAGAGGGCGCCAAACAGCAGCTCATGCGGAGTGCGCTCCTCCTCCATTCTGCACATATGACCAAGCTACTCCATTCGGCGACGCATGAGACGGGTCGGTAGATCGTCTTGTCTGGCGGAGTTCCAGAGAGAGAGAGAGAGACACACACACACACGCACACACACACCGTGAGCTGCTACAGGGCCATGTGTCACCCTACGATGGTACAACCAGACGCTTACTCGGCTAGTATGGTACAGCCAGGCTCCTACATTGTGCATGCATGAACTTAGTTACACTCGGCCATACGATTTCCCTTTCCCTGGCTTTAAATGAAGGTGGGACACTCTAGCAGTATTTTTACGCTATTTTACCCTCCTGTGTCAGGCGTGAAATCATCTTACTGTCTGTTTCGAAATGTAAGCGTTCCTTGACTGTCTGTGTAATGTTAACTAGTTTCCAATATCACACTGGACTATATGGCCGGTTTTCTTGTACGTGTGCTGTCTACAGCAACGCCTGCACCAGCAGTCATGTGATGGAGACCAAGTGCAGCCTGGATAAATTGTTTCTTCTTTTGCTTTGAAGGGCTTTCATGATCAGTTTTTCATGGTCGTGGCTATTGTGATGTGTGTCGTATTATGTTGTGTGTTTGCGTGTGGCAGGCGAGGTGGCAGGCCGGAACCGAGAGCAAGCAGCTCTGGTGCACCCCGCCGTGGCAGCTCCAGCCGTGAACAGCCCGGCGGCAGATCATCTGCTCAGAAGGCCAAGGAAAGGGAGAGAGAGGAGGCTCTGTCCCTGGTACGCATGTCCAGCTCCAGCCATGCATCTCCTAGTGAGGAGAAGGCTACGCAATTGGGTGGTGCTGCTGCCGCTGCTTCGGCTTCCGGTGCTGGCAACCGGTACTCCGAGGAGAAGGCTGTCGAGAAGAGTATGTCAATCTTGCGCGAGTACTTTGACATCCATGATATTAAGGTTAGTATTCTTTCCATATTCGTTTGCAATTGACTTGCCAGCCTTTGGGCTGTGGGTTCTGTGTGTGTATGGCTTCCTTTGTCTTAACTGGGCATTATCGTATTCTGATCGTGTACAGGAGGTATTCGAGTGTCTGCAAGAGCTGCAGTCTCCTGGACACTTCAGTGCTATCATCAGTGCTTGGCTGAACCATGTAGTTGACAAGAAGCCAGTCAAGCAAATCACAACTGGTCGCTTGATTTGCAAGCTGATGTCTGCTGATTACGAGGGTCTCTTCACTGCCAGGCATATCTCAGATGGGTAAGTTCTAGGGGTGAAACGATTACACTTTTCAAATATCGGCTAACCTACCCTTGTATCGATTCAATTATCGATCATGATATCGATTACTGCATCCTAGAACTTCCTATACTACGCACAACTTACTTGACACAACGCACCATCAAGGTTTTGAATTGAGACGCTGAGTACAATTTCATAATTATTAAGTTAACTTGATTACATGATCACTCAACCGTATACACGTACTACATAACAACAGGTACAGCGTTGCCGCGCCAGACTAGCACAAAGCACGCCGTGTTGACATATGCAGATGAACCGCGTACTACACAGTTCAGTGGCACATCACATGCACGTGCAGGTGCAGTGCAGACAGTCAGTACATGCACTGTCGATCTACAATGTCAGGGCTCACGGTTGTGTACAAATACGTGGGCGCCATTTTGTTTCAGGCCAGCTCACGCGACCACAGCTCGACCGCCCCTTGTACACAAACTCTAGGCATCTCGCAGCGCATTTTCAGTGCGACACATGCCTCTTCAAAACGGAATAAGGTAGCACGGGTAGACAGTACGACACTGGAAATGTGTGTGTAACCAGGCAAGATGTGAACAAGGGAATCAACCGATGGAATATTTGATTTTGGCCCTGGGAAACTGAAGATGTCACAAAGTCTGTGAATGCTCTACGGCGATCCCTTTATTTAGAAAAAATCGCTTCGGTTAAACCGTAGCTTAGCATCTACTGAAGATTTTGAGCCGTCGATTGTCAAAACTGGCCAATATCGTGCTACCTTATACTGTTTTAAAGCGAGCTAATTCGGCAGGGGCGCACGCAAATTTGTTGTAGATGCGGAAACTGCACCAGCAAGGCGTTTTTTGTAATGTTCCTCCGTGACTGACGAACTCGAGAAATATTATTCACCGTTTGCTATCTCGCTCATCGGCGGTCTACTGCTGTGTGCTTCAGCAGCTATGGCGAACCGAAAATACATGGCCAGTACAACGGCGAAGCCATTTGATTTGTCCTCTTGCAACGAAACAGAGTGGCAAATCAAACGAGCGAGCTTTGAAGCTCAGGGCCCTACGCTATGCTTTTTTGGCTAGCTAGCTCATGCATGTTATTAGAACTGATGGAAATGGGTTTTTTTTTCATTGATTGGCTACATTAAACTTTCTCTTTGCATTCGAGGGTAATACGACACCGTATACATGGTCTACCACCCTGATGACCCAGGCAAAAAAGCATAGGGATGTAAAAAAATTCCTTTCTCCTATTTTTTTTCAATACATAACCTGGGATTCGAACACGCACTATCGCTCTGCATGCATCCCCCGATACACTTCGCATACATGCTCATTCTTCCAAGTTGCTTCACGTTATGATCTTGCATTTGAAAGCCCTATTTGAATATTGTGGCCAGCTGTCTTTGGTACGGTACGGGATAGCGCCAGGCATGCCGATGGCACAAACAAACAAACACGGAATTAAAGCTGTGTGGACCCTGGCTAGCGCCAGACGTTACTGAAGTAACTTCTTTTGCATAGCTACGGGAATAATTCACAACTCTCCATCGGCACTACTCACAGCAGCGTGGCATGGCTCTTTCACTCGTGCACGTGTATTTACAACATACTCTGAGAGCAGAGATAACGAGCTAGAACTAGAACACGATGTGAGTCTTTGCTTCATTCCATCAAGGAGCTCGTGTCCTCTACCTCTCACCTGCGCGCCAGTGCATCAGCGCACGAGATAGATGTCGATCCCTTTCTCAGCAAAGACTGCAGAAATCGCGACTTCTACTTATCGCAGGACTCCGCATGCGAACTGTCTGAAGCCTTCGGCTTACGAGGCCAGCACTGCTCGCAACATACTCGCTCGGAAAGAAACAATAACAACGACGGTGAACGGCAAGTCCCCAGCCGGTCTCCGTCTTCCTCAGTTCTGCTTCTTCTTTTCAGTCACTGCAACTCTCCTCACAAAATCTCGAGTCCTTGTTGTGCTCCGCGCACTGTCGCATGCATGTAGCTCGGGTCGCGTGAGCTCATTTCTATGGTGATTTCAAGATGTCCTCCCACGTAATTGAGTTTTGGCATCCCAACCGTGAGCCCTGAATGTACGTAGCGTTATCGGATCCTACTACTTCAATTGTAGTACAGTCATATACATGACATCTTGTACACGTGTTGTAATCGAAAGCTTAAACAAAATTGCTTCGTTGTAATGATCGATTAAACCGAAAACATTGTTTCAGCCCTGTAGTAAGTTCTCTGGCAGTTTTACTAATGGGTACGTCAAGTTGTCGGCTGAGATTGTGCCAGAAGTTCCTACAAATGTCTGTCTTTTTATGCATTCATGATGAAAAATATACATTTTTTATGACTAATGTAAATGTGAGGTTGATATTTTGTTGACTAATCTGAAGTGTGTCCTCCTTCTAAGTCACAGTAAGTGTATAGCATTTTTGCTTCCCATAAACGTGAGTGTTGCCTTATTTCTTGTCCTTCCATCCTTGCTTTTTGTTGCTGTTTTGGTATCTTCTTGTTTACTTCACCTCTACGTAGTGTTCACGCATTCCTTGAGCAAGCCGAGGATCTTTCTTTGGACATTCCACTTTTCTGGCGCTATTGTGGCAACTTCCTTGCTCCGATTGCTATTCATAGCCCGTCAGTGCTTGGACCGATTTCCCAATCCGGTCATCTGCTCGATATGTGCAAGGCAGCTACCCTGATGGCTGAGATTATGCTGGCAATGAAGTCCAACGAAGAATTGGTTAGTTTGTTTCACTTTTTTGTTGGACACGTCTGTAGAACAAGGCCTGTCTTGAACTCCAGTAGACAACCAATCAGCCTTCGATTAGTATAAATTTATGACTCTTAATGACGTGGGGTGCTCTTGCGGTGCTACGATGTACAGGAGGTATCAGTTATAGTGTGGGTGTTTGAAAAACGACTATCTATTCTTATTTCCGATATTTCTTACACACGATAAATCAAGTGTGACATATCATGTGCATGTGCGCAGAGGCAGGAAGATCACCGTACATGCAATGTAGTACGCGGCTGGTCATAGTCACATTGGCTTACCATGTGGCTATGCAACATGAGTTCCATGACCACAGCAGTTGAACCTGCAGCACTACGACCCAACGCGAGTCAGATCAGAACTGCATTGGACGGATGTCATTACTACAGGCGATATACTTTGTACTAATCTGGCATGTTTCGCTACACAAAGTCCATTCTTAGGACCGATATATTCTACTGTACGATAAAATTGTTTGTAAGAATAAATGTGCACTTGAAACCCATGTTATGATTATGAAAACATGAGAGTAGGCAGTATATTCTTTTACATGACCACGCTATAACCGATACGCACTGTATAAGGTATACTTGCAGTATTGCACTGACCGGCCTCCCCGTCATGGCATCTACTCAGCATGGCTGTCGATCTTCGAAGGCAAAGTGCATAGCCATTGAATATGCAAAGACAAATGATGCAGGAGGGCACTGTGAGCTTTAAACAGGTTTACTTTGTTTGTCCCAATTTGGTTGTCACTTTTCCTTTCTTTGCGTGTTCAAAATTATCTTGCAAGATACTATTCATGGTGACAATTCATCTGTATCACCTGAATTTATCTAATTCAGCATCAAAAATGGCTGCAAGAAGAAAAGTAACTTTAGGGTTGTGCAAAGATCGTGTGTCTCTTTTTCTCTTCTGTTTTCTAACACTCAGTCGGAGGAGTCCGTCGGAAAAATCTGGCGAACATCCAAGCTTCTGTGGTCGGATGTGCTGATGCAACACGAGCCATCTGAAGAGGAATTCCTGGATAGGAAGGTATGCATGTATCTGATCTTATTGTTTGCGATGTCATCTGATAGCTGTTCATGCACGAAGCTTTGGTAATTGGGCACAGTTTGTTTCTGTCTGTCCAAGTCTCTGTCAGTGTCTAAATGTGTATGATCATTTTGATGTAGGTTTTTTTGTTAATACTTGGGATCTTCTCTTTCCCATATTTTGTCCCTTGCAAACTCGTCTCAGGGCCTGAAATTCTTGAGTGGTGGTGTTGATGTTGGCAAACATGTGAAGACAATGTTGGAGGGTGGTGTCCCTGACAGTGCCATCATTGACTGGATATCTGTAAGTCGTCATCACTGGTTGTTCTTACTGCATGTGTTTTCTCTATACAACGCGTACTTAACTCGTGAATAGTGCTCATCTGGACCATGCTGTGTTGTCTCTCATATCCACTTACATGACTTTGTGCTTCTATGTTTGTACTGATGGTGCTGTTTGTGCTATGTTTGTGCTGGTAGAAATAAGCTGTATGTGTGTGTGCGTGGGGTGGCGGGAGGGGGGGGGGGGGTGCACAAGGGCACGGCCCGGAAACATGCATTACTTTGATACTAAAGCCCACACACACAGATGTCATTATGTCTATTTGTCACAGTCATGATGATGAGCTAGGCAAGATTACACTGGGTCTTAGGGCACATGTGCAAATGTGTCAATTCCATGCTCAGTTTGGTGAAGTTCCTGGAATAGAGTACACGTCATGTAGCTGTGCTTTGTTAGATGTATGTGTACTGAATGGTTGTCATCTCTCCAAGTCTCTGCTGTTTTTACCTCGTTCTTACCTTGTTCCTTTTTCTGTACCACCGTGTGCCCTCAGGCTAATGTCAGTCGTGATGATCAACGCAGGAAACCATTCATCCAGGCGCTGGTGTCCGCTTTGGTCAGCCACAGCGTTGTGCCTGGTGAGTTGCATTTCTACAGCCGTAGCCCAAAGTGTATCACCTCCCGGTATTTTACTACTCACTGCTCATGAGTACAGTAGATCAGTTCTGATATGTATGTGTGCATTGCCCATTCTTTAAGGCTGGTGTGGTCGCGTGCTGTATTGGTGAAGTGCGAGTTTGGATTTCAGTTGCCGCGACTGCACTTGACACAGTAGAGAGGTAGCGTATAACACAGTTTCGTAGCGTTCGTTGCATCAGGCACCAACGAAAAAAGCATTCACACAGGCTTTCATGCATTCGTGTGTTCGGTGTATGACAGAGCGCATGTGTTGTACATTACTGAGTGGCAATACGCTGACTGCAACGTTGTTCGACTTTTTTTCCGTAGAACGTTCATACAAGTACCGTTGCTCCGGGCCGTTGCAACCAAATCTTACGAACTGTTGTGCGCACCCTGTCTATTACTAATTGACACAGTACTGCTTCTGCTACTGCACAGGATTGTTGCTATTATCATCTTCTTATCAATCCTGTCTAGTCGAGGGCAGTTAGGATATTCCTTGCAGGTGCTGAATGGCTGTATATCAGCCAGTTGCTGCCCAATTCTGATGTGTGTGTGTGTGTTTGTATTGTACTTTATTGTTTACTGTGTGTGCATGGTCAGCTGCTGCAGCTGCTGCTTCCATAGCTCCAAAGTACACGATGGACAGCAAGCAATTGATCGAGCGAAAACAGCTCCTGGTGAAGTACTTGGATTCTGATGTTACCCGTCAGCTGTACGCTGTCTTAGCAGTTGAAGCCTTGGTTTTCAAGTTGGAGCATCCTAAGGGTGAGTGTGAGCAACCCTTGCTTTGAGCTCCTCCTCAGATTGTGGAGCTATGTGGCGCACTTGCTTGCTCTTACTCTTTATTGGTTGTGTGTGTGTGTGGGAAACGGCGTGGGGGGGGGGGGGCATTGGATATGCATGCGACTTATAGCTGGTGCCGCAACTTTAGCAATAGAAGTTAGTGGTCGTACCAGATTGGAGAACAAGCTAGCAAACCTGAAGATTGAAAGGAGAAAGAAAACAGATGATCGGACGGCGGCATCCACTGTGCGCCAGGGTGCAATTTGTTTGCCTCTCACTGCTCGGCAGCAGCACACTTCATTCGAAAGTGGCTAAAGTGGCTCCTTCACATGTGTGGAGGAGGCCGTTGTACATAATCATGAATGTGCTTTTTTGTAATAGAACGTGACCGTTAACCCTCTGCGTGCGGATGACGTGTATACACGCGCCTGAACCCCAGTCCGGTTCTCTGATGACGTGTATGCACACGATTCGGTTTGCATCGTGTGTCGCTGTAAATAGACCAGTGTACAAACTTCCGTTGCTCTGTGAAGGAGCATCCGATCTCCACAAACGACACATCGTTGGAAAGGTCTTGAGCTCAGCTTTCCAGAGATATAAAGAGGAAGGGCTGTCAGATATCTGCAAAACGTTTGCCTTGGTGGAGGAAGTACATGATGTTCATGATGACAAGTCTGTTGATCCCAGAGCTGCAGAGAGTGCTCAATGTCATAGACAGAGCTTAGTATATACCGTAAAGTACCGTTGATCCGCCCCCCCCCCCCCCCCACGCCATGTCGCTTCCCAGCTGTGTTTTCGGCAGGGGGCGGGAATTAGATCAAGGCTGTGAAGTGGAGTACGATGTACAACAACGTTGAGGATCAGACTCGATGTCCTGTATTGCGCACATTTTCATCCTGGATTGGCACGTATTGTGTACAGCAGTGCAAGCGTTGGTTCAACATCGTATTTCGTTGTATACGCCGAAATCGCTTCACAGGTAGAAAATCGACAGGGGGCGGGTATTCGAGAGGGGGCGGATCAAAGGTACTTTACGGTACATGCAGTTGTCTGATAGTTGCCTCGCTGCATGAAACTCTGAGTTGCAACCAACCTTAAATGTCCTCCGCTGAGTCTGTACTGATGTTCATGAGTTGTATTCATTAGGTGGAGGAAGTACATGATGTATATTTATTATGCTCTGCATATGTTATTCACCCCTGGTGTATAATGTGCCATGTGTTACAGGTCTTCTTCATGAAATCTTCAACGCCCTGTATGTGGAGGCAATGTGTGATGCTATAGAGGAAGAGGCTTTCTTTATGTGGCAGAAGCTCCCGGCTGGAGACGCTCCACAAGGCCATGGCGTAGCTGTTCAGTCAGTTATGCAGTTCATTAACTTCCTGCGCAGTGCCGACAAGGCATAAACTGACGTCGGCAAGGCGTAAACCGACCGCAAAGCTTGTCGGCTATTTGTAACTCTCTTCCTTTCCTCTTTCCCTTTTTCTTTGTTCTGTTATGCTTTGCCCGCTCGCTCACACACACCTACACACACACACACACCTACACACACACACACACCTACACACACCACACACCACACACCTTGGACGACCATCGCTAGTGCAATGCACATACACACACTCTCTCTCTCTCTCACACACACACACACACACACATACACACACATACACACACATACACACACACACACACACACTTCTCTCATCTCCTCTCTCATTCCTGCATTATCTACTCTGTAGATGGAGGAATCTTTCATATTATTTGGAGTTGTCTAGCGATTTTAATTATGTCACCCAACGATTATTTTCCTTTAGTGCGCATGTTTGCTGGCCTGGCCAAAGGAACAAGTCTGGTGTTGTTTGGTTGTTGAGGTTCAACTGTTCAAATCTCCTAATTGTGTAGACTCATCGCATTTGTGTATACTATTAGGTCTCTGACAAGCCGGCCAACATGTACTCCATCTCTCTCTCTCTCTCTCTCTCTCTCTCTCTCTCTCTCTCTCTCCATCTCTTTCTCTCTCTCTCTCTCTCTCTCTCTCTCTCTCTCTCTCTCTTTCTCTCTCTCTTCATTTATTTCTGTTTGCACGGCAGAGGAGGGGGTTGTAGTGCCGCCGCCGCCACCGTGTTGACACACACTCTCCTATCTAACCATGTATGATCATCATCAGGATTGTGTGCGTTCTGTTTGTGTCGTGGAGCAATCAGCCGTCTTGTAGTGTGCTGCTAGTCGTAATCATTGTCACCTCGCTCAAACGCATCATCATCATTATATCATCATCGACTTCTGTTTGTTTTATTTGCATTTCTTTACAATTTGGTACTATTATTTGTGAAGTGGCATCTCCTTGTTCTGAAGCAATGTGATTGGATGCTGGATTTGATCATCATGTTTGACATGTTTGTATGGCGACAGTGTTCTAATGTGTTGTCTCCTCTCCGCTCGACTCCAGCCATCATCCTTCTCACATTGACTATTGCTATTTAACCTGCGAGGCCCGCCTGCTGCCACTTTCTACTCTGGTTTGGCATTCAGTTTATTGTTTTGGTGTTTCCCCTAATTTTCAGAATTTTTTTGTTTTGCATTTTGGCATTAGAAAGTTGCAACTCGACAATCTCAATGATTTCTACTTCTTTCCTACAACCATATCTTGGGCCATGTTTTCCCTCTTTTCTCTTTCCCAGCTGTTTCTTTTTTGTCTTGTGTACTGTGGCGTAGTGTTTGTGGTAGTAAAAACAACTGTGTTCTGGAAAGTGTGCTCTACCTTCGCCGGTGTAACCGCCAAAATAGCAGCAGCAGCAGCCCTGGCCCTGGCTTGCAGGGATACTACTACACAGTCTACAGTACTGTTGTAGTACGTCGCCCCGTTCCGTGTTCGCAGTTACTGTATTTTCAAGTGTTTTACTATAGTCCATTTCAAAAAGATTAGCAATCAGGTTTTGGTCTTAAAAAGTATGAAGATAAGGGAAATTTGGACAACAAAGTGCATACCGTATTATCTCTAATATAAGCACGGTCCTTTATTTTTTCAATGTACCTCCGCCCCGTGCTATTAATGGAGACGTTCCTTTATTGGAGACTGTTCCATTATTATTTCAACCTCATTTCAGAAGCATGTTGCCATGCAAAATTCATGTATAACACACACATTTCAGGGTTTTTTTCGCCGGTACAGATAATGAATTTACACAGTGTGCTTATAATGGAGACTGAGCACTTTTGTCTTTATTTTTTGAATGCCGCCCCAAGGTGTTCTATTATTGGAGAGGTGCTATTATTGGAGACTGTGCTTACGTCATTAGAGATAATACGGTAGAATGGCTTGTTAGGTCCGTTGCACACTACGTACATGTATAAGAGTCTACGAGCGCGGTCCAGTATAGTTGCTCATGAGTTTTGTTCAGTGCACACTGCACATAGCTCACTTGTTGTTTACGTGAATCGTCATGACAACGAGGATGCACGGCAATTTTTGCTGTCCTTTTGTGCTATTCATGACCTTCGACCTTTGTACTTAGTCTTTGGCGGACTGGCGCACCCGGCGCATGCGATGGAGTCAGTGGTTTACTTACTGCTTTTTTCTTCAGTTCAAACCTTGATTTTGTCGAGGAGATCGAGATCGAGAAAGAAGTCGTGCACACACCTGAAGCAATGAATATCTGGGATGACGGTAGAAGGCCAGTGCTGCCAACCAATTGGGTCTGTTTTGCGTACTGCGACTTCTGATTCTCCGTATTTGCAGCGTTTTTCCGTACTACCAATGAAATGCCTTGTGCATTGCTTCTATCAGGGAGTATTGTACTACTCCCTGGCTTGTATTGTGCTTTTTTGACACTCGCATTCTTGTCGGTGGCAAAATTTGCTAGTGCAAAACATGTGTGACGTGTACCAAGACGTGTTATTTTGTATACATCTAGTCGAAGCATGGCAGACTCGCTTTGGCACATCGCTCAGTTGGCGCTTGCCATGCTTCTACATACATGTACATGTACATACCTGTAGCTGATCGATCCTATTCAATTTTCCGTACCATTTTTGCTCAAATTCCTCACTGCGGACGAAGGAGTGATTTTCCGTACAAATACGGAAAATACGGAAGGTTGGCAGCACTGGAAGGCGGAAGGTGGCCATCGCCACTGTGTCCTTGTTCAAAAGCTTTCAAGACCAGCAAAGCAATTGTATTGCAGATGCCAGCTCCCCGCTCCAAGTCATTGCTTTAGAAGATTCAGGATATGTTTACTCACCCGGAGAAGGAAAGCTGCCAAACAAGCAAAAAGCAGGATATAAGCTGCTTTCTACAGGGGTACGCGACTTACTGAAAAGGAAAAAGCAATTTCTTGATTTTCCGGCCACATTCCTTTGATTTCCATGGGAACATACAAGTATGCGCAGCTTATATGAGTTTTTGTACGTAGTGTGCAACGGACCTACAAGGGCACGGCAAATTGTTCTGTGAAGGTTTGGGACCAGCCGTTAAGGAGTTAGAATTTCGGCCAGGTTTCCGGCCTTTTCCCATGGTTTACAATTTGCCCTGGATGTCAGTATCGATTTTTTATCAAAACCCACGATTTATCCCTTCCTTTTTGGCCTTGTGGTTATGATTGCTGTCTGCTGACCATGAAGGTGTGAGTTCAAATCCCAAACTATCTTCAAGTCAAACTTTTTTTTCATTGTTTTGGTGATCACGTTGGTACAAAAAGTACAAGCCAAAGAAGGTGGCTGCGCCAAATGACTTGTTGTTGTTTTTTTAAAGAGTTGGCACCTATGAATTCAGGGGATGGCCCACGCCTGGTAAAAAGAAAAAGAAAGAAAAAAAGAATGTCTGGCACCTATGAATTCAGGGGATGGCCCACGCCTGGTAAAAAGAAAAAGAAAAAAAGAAATTTAAAGAGTCGGCGTGGAGAAAGCAATTTTATTAGTGCAATTAGGAGTATAATCGATGCAGACATGGCCAGACAACAACGAGTTCATGGAATTTTTAAGGATTTTTATGTTATTCAAAATCGATTTTCGTGTTCCGCTCATCAGTGAATAGTATCGGAACTGAGGGTACTGTGTACAACAATAGAACATTTTATAACAGCATAATTAATTAGAAGTGTGAACAACAAAGGAAGTGCTACAGCATTACATAATAGGTGTCAAACATAGTGCTAACGTATATAACTGAGTGCAGGCACAAAGCAAGAGGTGATACAGTGCAACATGACACAACATTTACATCTGATAACCAGCTACGAGAACAACTTTAGTGCGACTACATGCTTCTTTTGTTTACAAAGAACAGGATTATGCACACGAATACATACAGCTTCCAGAACCTTCAACTGCTTGCAAAGTTGTACAAAGGTGCAAGAGTTGCCTATAATTTTTTACAAGTTGTGTCAAACCGCGCGAATATCATGGTGACGTACCCAAATCAGCAAAACTTTGTCGCATCGCTGACTTCTTCTGTGAATGGTATTTCGCGAGTTCGCATCGCACGCATCCATCGCAGATCGCGTCGCATCGCGTGTCGCATCGCAAAAAAAGCTTCTGTGAATCCCGCTTTAGCCTTTCGCGGTAAAGACACACCTGGCAATATGGCGGTAAACACAACCATAAGTACAGCTGCAGTGGGGTCTTCAACTTACTTCATTCTGGTTTATCAAATAGCAGTGGATATTGCTGGGGCGTTCGACAAAGTGTCGCACCCGGGTGTCCTGTACAAAGCTGAGCGGTATGGGCTCCAGGGACTTCTTGCCTGGCTCAGAAGCTACCTCACCAACCGCATGCTCCAGGCTGTAGTGAGCGGACAGTCCTCCTCTGCTTACCCCATCATGTCAGGCGTCCCCCAGGGTAGCATCTTGGGCCCGACTTTATTCCTTCTCTATACGAATGATGCTGAGGATCATCTACCTGCTGGGGCCCAGCTTGCTGCATATGCTGCATATGCTGCATATGCTGCATATGCTGCATATGCTGCATATGCTGATGACAGCGCATTGTAACAGTTACAAGTGCATATCACGTGACCCGAAGATGCTACCACACTCCAGATCGCTGTAAATGCGCTGGCAGACTGGGGAATGGCCTGGCACATTAGGTTTGAACCTACAAAGTCTCAGTCCCTCCTGGTTTCTCACCATCACAACACAGTCGTCGTCCCACCGATTGTATTCCAGGGCACAGTTGTTCCGGAAGTCGACCAGCTGAAGCTGCTGGGTGTGCTGTTTGACCAACACCTGTCCTTCACAGCTCATATCGGGCAGGGAGTCGTAAATACCGGTATTTTACGACTCCCTGATATCAGGCAATTGGCTATTCGAGGCTCGCAGCGTCTCGGCTTCCTCCGGAAAGCCTCACGAGTGCTGGACTCCAGGTGCCGTGGAGTGATCTACAAGGGCTTTGTCCGCCCGGTTTTGGAGTACGGCATGCTCGTGTGGATGAGAGGTGGATGAGCGCTGCACCCACCACTCTGGCTCGCCTCACTGCCATCCAACGCCGTGGCCTTCACCTAATCGGTGATGGAGCCTACCTCCCTAGCTCGGACATCCGTAGAATGGTCGGAGCACTCTGCTTTCTCTACAAGCTCCACTTTTCAACTGGCCCAGACATGCTTCTCACCCTTCTTCCACCCCGAGCGACCAACACATCACGCCATAGCCGACGCACACAAAAGCATCCCTCGCACCAGTTTCAGCTCACTTCCACTCTTCCGCCCAGAGCACGGAATGATGTCCTTCGGTCCTTCCCTGACGCTGTTGTGGAGGTCTGGAACCAGCTCCCGCAGTGCGTTCTGCTGAACCAGCCAACAAGGAGAGGACTGCAGACGTTCAAAGAAAAGGTCAACACCCACCTGCGCCTTACCCGCTGGGACTGCGCAACGGACAGGCTATGAATCAAAGAAAAAAGACGAAAAAAAGCTCCAACTCTGTTCCCTCCTCCATTCACTTCGTTGACTCTCTGATAACTTCTTATTGCGCATACTTTTCCCCGTAATCCCCAGTTATCTACCCCCCCCCCTGCGTATTTTCTGTAATCTTTTGTTTTTGTGGAGCGCTTGGGTTGCAATGAAGCCGAGACCCTATGGTCGGTCACGCTGCCCCTGCCTCTCCCCCACTCCTGCCATTCCATATGTCCCATCGCTGCCTTGCTGCTTTGTGCCGTCAAATGGTGTGTGTTTTTTTGTAAAAAAAATAAAAATAAAAAAATGATGGAAAAAAGACACACCCTGGCAATATTATGGTGGTAAATACACGCCTGCCCACACACGCTTAGCTCTCTAAAGTAACTAGTTGTTCTTAGCTCTCTACAAAGGCTAGGCTGCAAAGTTGTAGGCTGCAAAGTTCTGGCACAGAGCTCTCCTTCTCACCACCACTATCAGTTCGCGCCTGGCGCCTACGATGCATGGTTGGCGGTATCCGACATAGCAGGCTGGTACATCAAGTAGCGCATGGCACATAGAAGATGACACAGCAACGACATAGCTCGATTGCGATGTACGTTACGTCCCCGCTGGACTCGTCAGGCAATCTTCTTCTTGGAAGTTGTTGTTGTTGTTGTTGTTGTTGTTGTTGTTGTTGTTGTTGTTGTTGTTGTTGTTGTTGTTGTTGTTGTTGTTGTTGTTGTTGTTGTTGTTGTTGAGTTTTATTTAAAGTCGCAACACAAACAGGCGATGGCGCCTTCTTTTATACATGCGAGCGACATGCCACATTTAATAATAATAATAATAATAATAATAATAATATAAGAACAAAGGAAATAATATAGCAATCA